CCGTGTGGGCCCTGCACGGAGATTCACTACGATCACATTGGGAATCGTAACGCCGCCGCACTGGTCAACGCAGACAGTCCGGATGTGGTGGAAATCTGGAATCTAGTATTTATGCAGTATAACAGGTTAGAAAAGTTACTTCCAGTGTTATTTTACTATTTATTGTAGTTTTTATTAATATTTTGAATTAGCTTTTTTATTTAATTTTAATGTGCAGTGGAAGCTTGTTCTGTGGGGATGCGATGGCTCATGCTGTAGATATTCCCAACATTTTATTAAAAAGGCTTTGATGGGGGGAAAAAAGTGTCTAGCTTTAATTTAGGTTCAGTTCAAGGCAATATTTCTAATTCTCATTTAGTTTGTTTTTCATTTAATATTTATATTAGCTTATTTTTATATTTTTAATTTCATTTGATTTTTTTTTTAATTTTGTCATGTGCTTTTGTCATTTTTTTATGTTAATATTTAGGTTTAATATATTTTAATTTCAGATTTAGTTATACTGTCTATTTTAGATTTATTGTATTTTTATTTCGGTTTTAGTTTTTATTTTCAGCTAGGAATTTTAGTGCATGAACCAAAGCAAGATTTTTATTTTAATGTATTTTTATTTCAGTTTTAGTTTATATTTATTTCTAGCTAGTCATTTTAGTCATTCCACTTGTTTCTGTTAGTTGTCAAGGCAACATTTCCAATTTTCATTTAGTTTACATTTTTCATCTAATATTTATATTTTATTTCAGCTTTATTTCAATTAACAAAAATGTTTTAATATAGCTGTGGTTTCAGTTAACAATAATAATAACGTACACTGTGAGGATTTGAATATGTCAGTGCTCTCTCTCTGTGTTGCAGGGAGGTCAATGGTAGCCTGCGACCTCTGCCCCAGTGCAGTGTGGATACTGGGATGGGTTTAGAGCGACTGGTGACTGTACTGCAGGGGAAACGCTCCAACTATGACACAGATCTTTTCACACCTCTATTGTCCGCCATCCACCAGGTCTCTAACCTTCATTTAACCTTTTACAGGAATAATATTGCAGGTTCAGTACAAACCAAACCACATTATCTCTGTTGTTTGTTCATGTAGTGCTCCAAGGCTCCTGCATATCAGGGCAGGACCGGAGAGGCTGATGTGGGTCAGGTGGACATGGCCTATCGGGTCTTGGCCGACCACATTCGGACACTCTGCGTGTGCATCGCTGACGGAGTTTACCCAGGCATGACAGGCGCTGAGTGAGTTTGACTTCATTGAAGTACGCAGAGTCATTTAAAGGATAAAATTCATGCAATATGCCCTCTTTGTGATAGGCTAGTGTTGAGGCGTATCTTGAGACGTGCCGTAAGGTTTTCTACAGAAGTGCTGCAGGCCCCTGAGGGTGCGCTGGCAAGCCTGGTGCCTACTGTAGCTCATATACTGGTGAGATGATTCAGAGCCTGCCAAATTATTACAGCCATCACTGCATTGTGTCTGAAGTTTAATTTTTCCTCTTTTCTCAGGGTGATGCCTATCCTGAGCTGCACACAGAGTCTGAGAGGGTAAGCATGTTCGAGAAGCACCACAGTTTACATTTATTACAACTGGGTAAATTCTTACGAAAAGATACACTACCATTTTTTTTTTTTAAAGAAATTAATAGTGAGTGATTGACAGCAAAGACATTTAGAATGTTACAAAAGATTACGATTTCAAATAAATGCTGTTCTTTGAGAAAGTTTAAAAGACAGCATTTATCTTCAAAGAATCCTTAAAGGGAAAAAAATGTATTCCAGTTTTCACAACAGTTTTAAGCAGCACAACTGTTTTCAACATTGATATTAATAGGAAATGTTTCCAAAACAGAATATTAAAGTGATTTCTTAAGGATCGTGTGGTACTGAAGACTGATTTGCATCACAGGAATTAATTACATTTTAAAGAAAAATATTTTAAATTGTAGTATTATATCACAATTTTACTGTTTACTGTATTTTTTATCAAATAAATGCAGCCATGGTGAGCATAAGAGACTTTTTTCAAAAACATTTTCAAAATCTTACCAACCCCAAACTTTTGAACTGTAGTGTATTACCATGTTCTAAAACACAATTAAAGTGAATCTTTAGAAAACACTAATAATTTAATAAAAGTATAATATAATAAAAGTAATCTTTAGCAAATCTTAAAATTATGGCTTGTAGTATTTCAAACAATATATTTAATGTTTTATTTTAATTTATTTAGACAAAACAGTATTTTAACATTAGAATTTTAATATCAGCCATTATCAGATATCAGTCATTAACATGAAAATAATTAACTGCTTATCTGCATTAGCCTACATTTTAATATTGGTGCAGCCATAATTCTGTACTATGGCTTATATCAGTGTATCATGGCATTTTTCAACTTAGGAAAACCTGCTGATTACAAAGTGCAGGAACTGAATTTTTGTTTACATGATAATCTTTGTGCTTCCTCTATAGATCATGGATCTCATTAATCAGAATGAAGTCAAGTTCCTGTCCTCACTGAAGCAGGGCAGAAGGGTGATTGACAGGACCCTCAGCAATATGGACAAAGACACTGCTGTTTTTCCAGGTAAAATCCACAAAGTGATGCAATTCACTTTTCTTAATCTTTTCTTAATTTCTTTATTATCTGTGCAGGCTCATTAATGCTGATTTGCTAATATTTCTCTCTATGTGTTTCTCTCTCTCTATTTATTTTATTCTCTGTGTCCATTGTGTTGTCGCTTCTATCAGCCTTGGTTGCCTGGTCATTACATCGTAACCTGGGCTTCCCTCTTGATCTCATTGACCTGATGCTGGAGGAGAAGGGAAAGATGGTTGATAAAAAAGACATGACAGTGCTTGAAGATGAATATGAGAAGGTACTTGTGATATCATGTTGGTTTCCTTAATCTGACATCTGATTTGAGGATGAATAATGGGTAGTTACAATTATTATTATGAATAATAAATGTATTAATGAGCCCTGTTTTTTGGGGTATATGGACTAATTTTGTGGGGGTTTTTCTCAGTTGAGGTTTCAGTCGGAGGAGGATGATGGAAACAGGGTGGACCAGCTGGATCTTCATAGCCTGGCGGAGCTACAAAGTCAAGGAGTTCCTCATACAGATGACTCCCAGAAATACTGTTACAGTCTGGGATCTGATGGACAATATGGTACTGGAGGGTGAAAAGATTTTGTTAAAAAATTTAGGAGTTTGTGAAGCAGATAAATCTTTATAACTGTGTCCTGACCAGACGTGAGACTAAATGTTTCATGAAGCAAGCAACACACTAAAAAACACTCGGAACACCTCAGTAACCACATAACAACATAATAAAAAATACTTTAAAAAACAACCCAGTAACCACACAGCAACAAACTACAAAACACTCAGAACACTTTAGCAACCACGCAGCAACATGTTAAGGAACACTGAGAACTTCATAGCAACCGCATAGCAACTTGCTAAAAAAAACTCAGAACACCTCAGTAACCACATAGCGACATGCTAAAAAAAACAAACTTGTAGCAACATTCTAAAGAACATTCTGAACACCAAAAATATTTAATCACCTAAGCAACTACACCCAATACAACACCTAGGTGTTAAAATTGCCCAACAGAAATATGCTAAAAACACTCAGAACATCAAAAACATTCCTAACACCTCAGTAACCTCATAGCAACATGCTAAAAACACTCAGAACACATCTGTAACTGCATAGCAACATACTAAACGTCTTTCGGATGAGACGTTAAACCGAGGTCCTAACTCTCTGTGGTCATTAAAAATTCCAGGATGTCCTTCGAAAAAGAGTAGGGGTGTAACCCCGGCATCCTGGCCAAATTCGCCCATTGGCCTCTGACCATCGTGGCCTCCTAACCATCCCCATATCTGCTGATTGGCTTCATCATTCTGTCTCCTCTCCACCAATAAGCTGGTGTGTGGTGGGTAGTGGTGGAAATTTTGATTCTTTCAAGAGATTCGTTCATTTTCAGTTTTTCGACGAGACAAAAACATTAAAACCCATTATAAACGAGGCATTTGTTACATCCATTGGGGACATAATTACGGATTATAATGACTTATAATGTCTTTTTACGCATTGAATCGCACCGCGTAAACATAAAACCATGTCTGCATTTGTGATCGGAGAAACGACAAACAACAAGTGCTACTCTACACTGCTCAAAACTCGCGTTTGAATCGCCAGTGGCAAATTTTTTATGTATAAAAAAAACGTACTTACAGTCTGTGAGTCAGAACAGCCGGCATTGTAGTCTACTCTACCAGGATCAGGAAACGGTCTTACATAAAATGGGCTGCACACATCTGAATATTTGGGTTGAACTGTTCTGGAACAGTGTTGTAAATACAACTTAACCACTGATTTCTAGTCATGTCCTCTTTTGGAAGGCCAAACAAAGTAGTTTCACTTTCGTGGCATTATGTTCTTTATGCTAAATATGAATATATATACAAGCGTATGTGCACAGTACCTATAACTGTGCTTTGCATCCGCTTTCTGCTGATTGCTGCTGATCGAGATTGACATGTTAAATGGCCGACTGACCCGGTACACTCTCAGTCATTTCATTCACGAATGACATGTACCAGTTCGGTCATTTCGTTCACGAACGAGAAGATCTCTCGATCTCATTCAGACTCAAAAGAAACTCGTTCAGTGACGGCCGTTCACTGATCTGTGCATGCGCTGCTAATAGCGCCGTGCTGCTATGGAGGGAGGAATATCAGTGAACGAGAAATATGAGTTAATGGATTACGTGAACGAGAACGATTCGTTCAAAAAGAACGATTCATTCATGAACGTATCATCACTAGTGGTGGGCGTTCTGGCGCAATATGGCTGTCATCGCATCATCCAGGTGGATGCTGCACACTGGTGGTGGTTGAGGAGATTCCCCCCTTCTATGTAAAGCACTTTGAGTGCCCAGAAAAAGCGCTATATAAAATGTAAGGAATTATTATTATTATTATTATTATAAACAGCACTCAGAAACCATCAGTAACTGCATAGCAACATACTAAACAGCACTCAGAACACACCCGTAACTGCTAGGGATGGGTCACGAATTTCGAATATTCGATTAGTTGATTTAATTCTAGAATATCGAATAGGTTGTGCGATTATTGTCTTAAAAAAATCTCCCCATGTTTTCCATCCTGATGTGGTGGTGATGCGTTCATGTAGCTCTGGCAATAACGCACCTAAAAGCTGTCAAAGACAACAGAAGAGCACAGTCTCACGCACACACTGTAGACTTGCATGGCATAAAAAAAGACTTGTGTAGCATATAATGGTTACAGTAATTTGGGACGATGTCAAATAAGAGCTCTGTGTGGACCACAAACACCCCCGACTGGGTTGATTAGAGGTGTGGCTGAATCCGTATTCAGAAAGGCGCGGAAAACAAATAACGCGTTCTACGGAGCCACTAAAAGGACATGGTTAGCTGCTTGCTAGTGGTAGCCTGTTACATTACAGTACATAGCATTTCACTTACCACATAAACAGAGTAAGGAGAGATGACTGATAGGATGATGGCGAATGATTTGCAGATCCTGAGCACCACTGACGAACATCTAATCTTGTAAAATGTGTGGGAGCACTGCCGAGTGCTGCTCGCTAATCTCGAAAGTAAAAGTAAAAAACAAGCGCGAGTTCATATTTCAATGCCCCGCATATTAATAACGACTCCTTGATGCCCGCAGTTTACATACAGTATAATTACCCAACAGTATAATTGCGACAGAAGATATTGAAGTATATTTTCAGTAAGGGTAAAATCTTTGCGTGGCAGTAGCAGCTGCCACTCGACCTGCCACCGTTATGTGTGCCTGCCACCGGACCTGCCACCGCTATGTGCACCTGCCACTCTATATTTTTCCTCCCATCTCGTATCTATTCACTTTAGGGATTCAATTTTTTAAAATGGAAATGTCCTAGCCTTATGAGCATTTGATTTATGCTAATCAATGGACTGTTATGTTAATAAGTGCCGTCATTCGGTTATGTTTATTATATTAATATGTTTCAGCAAGTTACGATCATTATGGCTTGAGTTAATAGCCTATCTTCTGAATTAAACAGTTTATCATACAGATTGAAAGCGTGAATCCCGTCTCTCTCCATCTCTCGGGGGAGGGGTGCGATTTTCGAATAATACCTGGCGATTTTCGGATATTATTTTTGCTTGGAATCCTCATCGCTAGTAACTGCATAGCAACATCCTAAACAGCACTCAGAACACACTAGTAACTGCATAGCAACATGCTACAAAAAACACTCCAAACACCTCAGTAACCACATAGCAACATGCAAAAATAAAACTCATAGCAACATTCTAAAGAACATTAAGAAAACAAAAAACCCTTAAACACCTTAGCAACTACATCACAACATGTTAAAAACACTCAAAACACCCCATAGAAACATGCTAACAAACACTCAGAACACCAAAAACACTCCTAACACCTCACTAACCACATAGCAACATGCTAAAAAACACGAACACATCAGTAACTACATAGCAACATACTAAACAGCACTCAGAACACATCAGTAACTGCATAGCAACATACTAAAAAAACACTCAGAACACGTCAATAACAGCATAGCAACATGCTTATAAAACACTCAGAACACGCCAATAACCACATAGCAACATGCTTAAAAAAACTCAGAACTCAGTAACCACATAGCAACATTCTAAAGAACATTAAGAAAACAAAAAACACTTAAACACCTTAGCAACTACATCGCAACATTTTAAAAACACCCAGACACCAAAAACACTCCTAACACCTCACTAACCACATAGCAACATGCTAAAAAACACTCAACACCTCAGTAACCTCATAGCAACATGCTAAAAGAAAAAAAAATTATAATAAAAAAGCACTCTGAACACCTCAGTAACTGCATAGCAACATGCTAAAAAACACTCAACACCTCAGTAACCTCATAGCAACATGCTAAAAGAAAAAAAAATTATAATAAAAAAGCACTCTGAACACCTCAGTAACTGCATAGCAACATGCTAAAAAACACTCAACACCTCAGTAACCTCATAGCAACATGCTAAAAGAAAAAAAAATTATAATAAAAAAGCACTCTGAACACCTCAGTAACTGCATAGCAACATGCTAAAAAACACTCAGAACACCTTAGCAACCACACAGCAGAACACGCCAATAACCACATAGCAACATGCTTAAAAAAACTCAGAACTCAGTAACCACATAGCAACATTCTAAAGAACATTAAGAAAACAAAAAACACTTAAACACCTTAGCAACTACATCGCAACATTTTAAAAACACCCAGACACCTCACTAACCACATAGCAACATGCTAAAAAACACTCAACACCTCAGTAACCTCATAGCAACATGCTAAAAGAAAAAAAAATTATAATAAAAAAGCACTCTGAACACCTCAGTAACTGCATAGCAACATGCTAAAAAACACTCAACACCTCAGTAACCTCATAGCAACATGCTAAAAGAAAAAAAAATTATAATAAAAAAGCACTCTGAACACCTCAGTAACTGCATAGCAACATGCTAAAAAACACTCAGAACACCTTAGCAACCACACAGCAACACACTAAAAAAACACTTTAAACATCTTAGCAACTGCATTGCAGCATGGGAAAAAAAACACTCCGAACACCTCCGTAATTGCATAGCATCATAATTAACAACATTCAGAAAACCTTAGAAACCACATAGAAACATGTTAATAGACTCAGAACGCCTCAGTAACTGCACAGCAACATGTTTTTAACAACACTCAGAACACCTTAGCTATAAAACACTTAAAACACCTTGGCAACCAACATGCAATCACATAGCAACATGGAAAAAACACTCAGAACATCACAGTAACTGCATAGCAACATTAAAAAAAAACACTCAAAGCACTTTAGCAAACACATAGCAACATGCTAAAGAACACTCAGAAAACCATAGCAACTGAAAAGCAACATATAAAAACACTCAGAACACCTCATTAAACAGATATCACCATTTTAAAAATCACATAACACCTTAGCAACCACATAGCATCAATAATCGCATAACTTACTAAAAAACACATTGCATGGCAACACCCTGGCAACCACTATGTAGCTAGGTGGAGCAGGATTTGGACCAGTGAGATTTCAGTGTTTGCGAGGTTAACATTTCAATGCATTTGCTAGGCTAGGACAAAAACTGTAGGTAATATTGAAGCGATAGCATTTATTGATTGTCACTTTATGGTATCATGCCTGGCTTGGACACGGTATAAGACTAAACAAGCATCCAGACTCTTTTCCTCTCTCAGTGTTTCAGCCTTGCAGAGCGTCAGTCCTGGCACTCTACTGTGACGGGGCTCTGGTTTCAGAGGTGAATGAGGGTCAGTGCTGTGGTGTGATTCTGGACCAGACCAGCTTTTACGCAGAGCAGGGCGGACAGGCGCATGACCAGGGTTACTTCACCAAGGATGGACTGCAGGTTACTGATTACATCCCATCTGACATATTTCATTTGTATGTATTTAAGCACAAGATTCACCATTGTGGTTATGCTTTTGCAGGATGTGCTGTTCCCTGTAAAGTCTGTCCGTCTGGCTGGGGGTTATGTGGTTCATCAAGTCACGGCAGGAGAGACTTTGAGAACTGGAGACCAAGTGGAACTTCATTTAGATGAGGTGGGAGTAGTAGGAGTAAAAGTACCAATACCATAATAATACATCATGCGGATACCTTTCAGTAAGTGCTATATTTCCAACTCTAGGCTAACCGCCTGGGCTGCATGGTGAAGCACACCACCACACACTTGCTAAACTTCGCTCTGCGAGAGTTGCTAGGTCCTGCTGTTAACCAGCGAGGGTCTCACTGCACCGCCAGCCGGCTCCGCTTCGACTTCAGCATCAAGGTACAAGGGCTGAGTGGCTGCCTCAGTGATTTAATAATTTCCAGAATGTCTAATACCGGTGTATGTGCTTGTTTAAAGGGCTCCCTGAGTGTGTCTGAGCTACAGCAAGTTGAGGAGTTAGTCCAGCACATCATTCGTCAAAATGCAGAGGTGTACATGGAGGAGGTCCTTCTGTCCAAAGCTAAACAGATTACGGGTCTGAGAACGATAGATGAGGTAAATAGGAATGATTCAATGCCACTTTTTCATTTCCAACACTGCAACCTCAGCTGATACCTATGCCAATCTGATACCAGTATAAGATTACCCTGTACAAATTGTGCAAAATTTTCATTATATGAAAGGTTCCAATGCCGAGTAGCACAAAGTGCTTATGTCAGGGCTGTCAAACTCAATTCCTGGAGGGCCGGAGCCCTGCAGTTTTGTTCCAACCCTGCTCCAACACACATACCGTGTAGTTTTCAAATAAGCCTGAAGGACTTGATTAGTTGGACCAGGTGCGTTTAATTAGGGCTGAATCTAAACTCTGCAGGGTTCCGGCCCTCCAGGAATTGAGTTTGACAGCCCTGGCTTAAGTGCTCTTGGGCACAGACTGATGCGCTTTAAAGCAATGGCCTTTTATGTCAAAGCGAGCATTGTTCCACCATGAAAAGTTCATAACAGTAAGAGTAGAAAGATGAGATATTCTGAGATATGAACTTGTATTAAATACCTGGAATATACTGTCCATAAAATATTTATTGTACTTTTTTGTCCTATTTGGAGCTTGACCGTAACAACCATAATGCACAGTATCGGATTTGGATCTGTCCCAACTGACCGATACCTAACAAAACCAATTGAAGCCTATCTGTGTCAGACCGATATTGTATATCGGATTGTTGTATGCTTAGAGGTATATATTTCGAGGGTGTAAGACAGGGAAGTCCAATCCTGCTCCTGGACATCCAACATATAGGGATGTCCCGATCAAGCTTTTTGTGCCCCCAATCTAATCAGAGTAATTTAGTATTGAGTATCTGCCAATTAAGAGTCCTCAGGGGCAGTGGCAGGGTTGCCAACAAAAAGAAAAAAATAGTGGAGCTATGGTTTGAAAGCATGAAGCTCATGGTGTCAGAATACCAGTCTGCCAGTTAATCATCTACACATGACAGTTGACATAAAATAAAGGATTGGGCTTGGGATAGCCGATACCACTCAGTTAATAAATGCTTTATCAGCCCCCGAAACGGATCCTTGAGATCAGCTCGGGACATCCCTACCAACACACTTGCTTAAAGGTTTCTAGTTCTGAAGTCCAGCTAATCATGATCCTGAAGTCTTTGATTTGCTGGTTTAGGTGTGTTTATGTAGGATTGGAAATAAACTCTACAGCATAGTGGCCTTTTAGGAGCAACTCTGGGCAACTCTGATTTAAGATTAAAGGACTATAATTTTACACTCCAAAATGTTCTTTTCATTTTGGTACCCTGCACCATTAGTGGAAACAATCTATATGTGAAGTTTTGACCTGTTGTTTGTTTTAGGTATATCCAGACCCAGTGCGAGTGGTGTCCGTGGCTGTGCCCGTTTCGGATCTGCTTAACTCAAAAACCAGCAAACAAGCTTCAGTGGAGCTTTGCTGTGGCACGTAAGGTTCTTCCGAAACTGCTGGAACACTTTGGGAACAGGGGTTGCCAACCCACCTCCTGGAGAGCTACTTCTTCCTGCATTTCCAACTTTGCTCTGCAGGATGGTAGCCCTCCAGGAACCGGGTTGGCTACCCGTCTTTGAGCAAACCACCAACACATTTGGCTTTTTCCAAGCTGCAGCCAAGGTCACCAGTATGTTGTTGTTTTTATCAGGCATTTATTGAGGACGGGAGCAATTGGGGACTTTGTCATTGTGTCTGAGAGACAGATGGTGAAAGGCATTAGCCGTATACTTGCCGTTACTGGAGATGAAGCCAAAAAGGTTTGAAAATCAAAATCTACCATTGCGTACCAGGTTAATTTCTGTGATACTAACTGTTCCTGTAACCCAGGCTCGTGAGACGGGCCAAGCCATGCAAGAGGAGTTGGAGTCTTTGGCAGTCCAGGTAGAAGCTGCAAGCTCTCTGTCTATGCCAGCAGCACAGATGCTCTCCAAAGAGGTTGGCCTCCTAATGAATGTACGTAACTCTCCATAACCTCTCATCTTCGTTGCCAATTCAGTTCATGATGTATGAATTTCATTGGTCAATATCCTACAGTATGTATGATGCATTTTAGGCAGTTGATATCACACCTATCCCACAATGGCAGAGGAGAGAGTTGCAGACTCGCCTAAAAGCAATGCAGAAAACCAGCAACACTACCATCAGAAAATTGGAGATCAAAGAGGTAGACACATCTAAAGGCTTAAAATTCAGTCTATGATGCCTGTCAAATGATGCCAAATAGTAGTTTGCTGGGTAGTCATTTCTGTCACATCTGCTCTGTTGATATGTTATGTTTTTCTTCTGCTTCAGGCTGCCTTGAAAGCCAAAGAGCTGCTGGTTAAACACTCTAATAAACCTGTGGTGGTGGACTTGATCCAGACGGACTCTATATCGGTAATTAGTATGTTTTGAGATGATGTTTGATAATTGTATCTGTGTCTCAGTTACATGTATACATGTGATCATATTTAGGTGCTGATGAAGACTGTGCTCCAGCTGAGCAAGAGCACTCCAGATTCCATGGTCATGTTGTTGTCTCACCTGCAGTTGTCAGGGAAGGTGCTTTGTGCCTGCCAAGTACCCAAGGTACAGCACACACAAAATCTCACAACTATGATATAACCACACAGGTATGTGATTTGTCTTCATACGCTTTTCATAGGGCTCTGCTAGTGGCTCAGCCATTAAATGGGCTCATTCTGTGTGTGCACGCTTGGGAGGAAATGCAGATGGCTCAACCGACGTGGCTAAAGGTGTGGGAAATGCAGCCAGTCTCACAGATATCACAGACATCTTGCACTGGGCTGAAGAATTTGCTCAAAACAAAATCTGAAAGGCATCCTGACCAAACTAATACACCACAATGGATCTGCTTCATCAAAATGGTTAAATCTATTAAATATATAGTTCCTGTTTCTTTGTTTTAAAAGGTTGGGACATATACTATAATTTTTGATTGTGACATTTTGGGAGGTGGGGTTATTTAGATATTAATCACTGCTATTAAGTTATTTATTGCTCTGTTTTGGAGATGGTCCTCACTGCAGAACATAAGATCCAGGGGGCGTGGATCTACCCGTCTCCACCCCCTGATCCCTAAACCCACCCATCTCCACTCCCTAGATGTGGATCCAACTCACGCCCCCTGGATCTTGTGTTCTGCAGTGAGGGGCTACTGCTGTTTTGGGTACACTTTATAATAGTAGGTTTGGTTCAAGAAAATGCTATTAAATTTAAGAAATGGCATTGCTCTGTTAAGAATTTATAATTGTAAATTCATGATTCATATCATTTCTAATGTGTCTGAATGTGTCAGTTAAATCATGGTGTATGAAATACAGTAAAAGCACTGTTCAGTGTGTCAGAGCGCCACCCTGCTGGCAAGAATCAGCTATTGTCCTTCATCTGAGAATCAGCATATTCAGCCACCAGAGGGAGACAAAAGAGCTGTAAAGTCTCACACCCGCAAACAGATGCTGAACTTACCTCGAATCTCTAATAAACATAACCACCTTTATAGACATAATCAGTGTTTTACCACCAATTTGCTGTTCTCTGGTGGTCTGCGATGACATTTCAGTCTTGTGTGATATTTCCATCGAGTTTTGCATTCTGACGTCACTGTTTTCACAAATTTGCATTTTTGTAGTTTACACTGAGACAGTGGTATTGTTTTCAAAAATGTGCACTGTGAAACCTGTTTTAAAGGAGACATATTATGCCCCTTTTTACAATATATAATATAAGTCTCTGGTGTCCCCAGAATGTGTCTGTGAAGTTTCAGCTCAAAATACTCCATAGATCATTTATTATATCATTTTTGAAATGCCTATTTGAGTGGAAGCAGAAAACCAGTTTTTCGGGCCTGTCTATTTAAATGAAAATGAGCTGCTGCTCCCCGCCCCTTTTCCAGAATAGAGCTGTGCCATTATAGCTGGTACCTGCTAAAAACATCTGTTGTGGTTCTGATGATCATTAAATAAATCAATAAATCCACCGCTCTGTTGTCTCCTCTGAGGCTGGGACTGTAAATAGAGTTCTGGGCTCGTCTGTGCAGACAAAGACAGAACAGTTAGCATGTTTTGCTCAAACTTTCGCCATGGCATTAGAGCTGGTACACCGTCGTCGCTTGCGAAAACACAATGACGGTGCTGCGGGTGTATTACATTTACAGATTAAGGGGCGGTAATATTATAATGAAATCCCTTTGCCACGTCACCAAGGGAGCGAAATCAGACACGCTTGTTTTCTCAGACGCTTGCAGAAAAAGGCTTACCAAAACAAAGTTACTGGGTTAATCTTTTTCACGTTTCCTTGGTTGGTAGATGCACCGTGGACCTGATTATAGCACTTAAAACCTGGAAAAGTCAGATTTTCATATGTCACCTTTAATGTACCCAAAATGCTGTTGTCACGTAAGTGAATGGCAAAAACGCATACAAATTTGTTTTAGTTGAAAAATGTGTAGTGTAAATTCCCTTTCAATAAGCGCATAGCCTACCCATACTCTTCACGCTTGTCAAAATGATTCGTCAGTTTCTGTTAGTCCCACACACAATGTTCTTTACAACGTAAGGACCTAATACTAGCAAGTCTTAAGATTTGTTCGTTTGTGGAGTTAGAAAATACCAATCGGGTGATTCTTTAGCAGTGGCGGCTCGTCGGGGGAGGCATAATTTTAAGGTGAAAATGGGAGGAGGTACTATGTAAATAAATGTTGTTTGTCTTTCTTTCTCAGGTGCTGTTTGGCTCAAGATAGAGATTTAATATGCCACATTAAAACAGGATTCGTTCTGCTGGTCGCTTTGACATTATCATTGTCTGTCATCTATTTTGTCTATGATTTCTCACTCAGTCCAGTCAAAGACCCTCACACCTGGTTTAACCTTGTAAATCAGACTCAGTCCTATAATTTGGTGACTGAGGGCTTGTCTGGCAAAAAAATTGCCTGGAATTTTCTAACTAATCAACAAATCATTCAAAAAACTACCGCACAAAAAAAATCACATTTCAGTGCATCATCATGTGGCTCATCCAAGCAACTATCATTTCATTCTGGATGAACCTGATAAATGTAGTCCGATTCAGTTTCTGGTCTTGATGGTTCCTGTGGCCCCTCAACAGGTAGATGCTCGTAATGCCATCCGGAGCACATGGGGGAATGAAAGCTCAGTCCAGGGAAAAGCAGTGCTGACTCTGTTCTTGGTGGGTTTGACTCGAGGACCTGAAGCTCAACAGCAGCTGGAGGAAGAGAGCCGACAACACAGAGATTTAGTGCAGAGCAACTTTGTGGACTCCTACTTCAACCTGACCATAAAGACAATGGTGATCATGGACTGGTTGGCCACTCGTTGCCCTCAAGCGATTTTTAGTATGAAGGTTGATTCTGACATGTACATAAACGTGGAGAACCTGATGAGCCTGCTATTGGCACCTAACACACCCAGACAGAACTACATTACAGGATTTTTGATGTGGAACCAGAATGTCATTAGAGACAAAAAATCAAAGTATTATGTCTCAGAGGAGCTGTACCCCGAATCAAAATACCCCACGTATGTGTTGGGAGTAGGATATGTGTTCTCCAACGATCTTCCCAAAAAAATAGTTGAGGCTTCCAAGGACATGAAGCCTTTTAACATAGAGGACGCGTATGTGGGCACTTGTCTGAAACGGTTGGGCATAAAACCTTCACGGGCTCCAGATCCTTCTCAGTTTCGGACCTATATGAAGGATTCTAAAGGTCACAACCTTTCCAAGGTCATTACAACAATCGCAAGGTCACCAAAGCAAATAATAGAGTTCTGGCAAAAAGTAAAAAGACACAAATGAACAGATAAACCAGCACACAAGGAACAGGGATGAGCAAAATTAAAAGCCAACACGCTCTGTGAATGAATAGCTAGGATACACTTTCCTTGAAGAGAGTCGATAGCAAAACCATTTGCTGTGGGAAATAGGATTTATGTATGTATAAATAATATGTATTATATTTGTATACGCATGTTCACATTTTGTTGCACACGGCACATTTCAATGTTCAGTGCTTTCCATATTCAAATTGCAAAGCCTCCACTCTCTTTTTCATCAGCTCTTGTTACTCAACTGCACAATGCTAACAGAAGCAGTTGCTTGTATAACAATATTATACCTTACGAGCCAGAGAAACAAATCTTTAGATGTGTGTGTTTTGGCACAAACTCTGTCTTTACTTATTTACTTATTGTAGAGTAAACAAAAGTTATCCTGAGTATTGTAATGTTGCAAGTGAGTGTCATGACAAATGTCAGTAGACCGGGAAGATTTTAAAACGAGCGGCGGTTCATTCATAAATCCAAAGTGAACAGATTTTCACACCTCCAACTGAGAAAGGTGAGGGGGACTAGTACCGCTTTACAGCATTTAATACACACACACACACACACACACACACACACACGTAAAACTAGCTTATTTAATTATTTTTCTGTTAATTTCATGCTAAACAATTTAAAAAAAGTGGGGTGACAAATGAATTTCAAAAAGTACAAGACTATGAATGTTATTACAGTCTTAGGTTTAACTAAGCCTGAAATCTGCTATACAACTTAATTATGAAGGTAACCTATTGCATTAAAATATTTTATTTAACAAGGCGTAAAACTAGCTTATTTAATTATTTTTCTGTTAATTTCATGCTAAACAATTAAAAAAAAGTGGGGTGACAAATGAATTTCAAAAAGTACAAGACTATGAATGTTATTACAGTCTTAGGTTTAACTAAGCCTGAAATCTGCTATACAACTTAATTATGAAGGTAACCTATTGCATTAAAATATTTTATTTAACAAGGCATAAATCAGAGTCTCTCATTGAATGCAAAATACAGTCTTTTATATTCAGTTAGAAAAATTAAGCAAAACATATCAAAGCATTTAATTTCACATTTTTCATGATATTTACACCAAATCAAAACAAAAGAATATGTAAAGGTATAATTCAAATCAGTTCTCTGTCTGTGGATGATGAACTAAGAGTAACAGAGTGAATAAAGTCCTATCGGAATTCCATTCAAAGTCCCAAAAAGTCCATCATAACAGTCAATCTGAATCCATATGATTGTTTCTGTCAATACCAAAGTTCAGAGCAAGTTGGAAGATCATACGTATAAAGATGACAGGCAATGAAACATGCATTTCATACCAAACATAGCCTCAATTACTTTCAGTTGAGCATAAACCACAAGTTTCTTAACAAGACCTCAAGAGTTTGAGCGCATGCCAAGGCCAAGCTTCAGCCTCTACATGCTGTACTATCTGTACTATACTAATTATATTACAATTCAGTGCCCCCAGTGGTGGGAAAGAGAATAGCACGAAATTTTTCACAACCCTGCAATACTGGAGGCTGCAGTTTCAGGACTGCATTTCTATGACCCTTTATTTTATTTAATTTTATTTATTTATACTATGTATGTATGTATTAGCAGTTTATACTCTATTATAGCACTTGTTTTTCAATTCTTTATTTGTAATATTATTTTTAAGTAATTATTTAGTTGTTTAATTGTATACATTTAATTATTGTCCTCACCAAACCCTAACCCTAATCATACCTATTGGCAGGGCCATAGCTGGGGTTTGCGGGGCCCCGGTGCAGGTCGTACCCGTGGGCCCTGTTTGAAATAGTGTAAATAGCACAAATAAATAAATAGAATAAGGATACAAATTAAATAATGATTTAAGTTTTTTCAAGTTTGTAGTTGTTCAGCTTACAGAAACAAAATAACCAAATTTAAAAACAGCTTTGCATAGTCTTCACTCTATAAATTAAATATAGATTAATTCTTGTTAAAACAAGTTATTCAGTCAAGAGCAGTGAGTGATTTTCTCTCTTTTATTTTCTTGGATTAACATTAAGGACAGCGACAGCAGCTGGTAAATTAGGCACAGACACTTTAAGAAACAATGCATGGATCCGATATAACGATACACATCTGTTTTCTTTCTCAACTGTTTACGTTCACTTAAGACATAGCCGACAGTTTTTTGAGGATACTCGCCAAGATGGGTATTTCGACATAATTTTGTATATATTTGTTCGTTCAAGTGCAAGAAGAGGCAAAACTCAATTCGGTGTTCATGGGCTTTGAGACGTGGCTCTCTGCATGCTGAATTAAGCTCTTTTTGTGAGCAGTCTTTTCTGTGCTTGAATGCTTAAATTGGCGAACTGTATTTGTTTGTTAACTCAATTCGGTGTTAGCAATTCGGCTCTCTGTGTGCACACTGAACGCAGCTGGTAAATTAGGCACAGGCACTTTAAGAAACAATGCATGGATCCGATATAACGATACACATCTGTTTTCTTTCTCAACTGTTTACGTTCACTTAAGACATAGCCGACAGTTTTTTGAGGATACTCGCCAAGATGGGTATTTCGACATAATTTTGTATATACAGTGGGTACGGAAAGTATTCAGACCCCCTTAAATATTTCACTCTTTGTTATATTGCAGCCATTTGCTAAAATCATTTAAGTTAATTTTTTTTCCTCATTAATGTACTTTGAGACGTGGCTCTCTGCATGCTGAATTAAGCTCTTTTTGTGAGCAGTCTTTTCTGTGCTTGAATGCTTAAATTGGCGAACTGTATTTGTTTGTTAACTCAATTCGGTGTTAGCAATTCGGCTCTCTGTGTGCACACTGAACACACGCGCGAGTACTCATTTGACATCTTTCGCGTCTTCTTGTGCTTGAAAGCTTTAAAATCTCTTGAATGTTTAAATTGGCAAGGCTTAAAAACACTTGCAAATGATAAGCTTTTCGTGGCCTGTCAACTGTCCTGGGCGTCTTTCATGCTGGCCTCGGGCAGTCGATTGACATTGCTGGGGGCCCCCCACAGCCGTGGGCCCCTATAATCGTCACCATCTTTCAACTGCGCTACAAGTGAGTGTGTAAGTTTACTCATATCATTCTTGTCTTAGCTTGCATTGGCTGCCTGTGAAGTTTAGAGTGGAGTTTAAAAACCTTGTTTTTGTTTTTAAGTCTCTAAATAGTTTAGTTCCTGGGAGGAGCTACATAAGAATAAAGCTGTGTTCGAAATTACTTCTTATTGACGAAGACGAGACGCTTCCACGTTTGTTAGCTTAACGCTCAACTTAGGGACTATGTGGCTTTTCTCTTATTCACACTTTTTTTTTGGTTTTACTACAAATAAAACCAAAAAAAGTAAACATGGTTACCACAGTTAAACCATGGTAACCACAAATTAACCATGGTTTTGCTTCACCAACCATAGTTTAAACATGATATTTGCAGTAAAACTGTGGTTATACAAATGGTTATCAATACGCCAAAAAACATGGTTACTACTCTTTTACTATACTAAAACCATGGTTCATTTCATAAGGATTGTGTCTGTTTTCACAAAAGAATAACAAACTTTTTTGAAATGTAAATAACACTGATATATGAGAGAAAACGGACTGTCAAAACAAAGGCACATAAAAATCGAATTTAAAAAATCATCATTCTAGAGATAGATAGCAGTACAGAGGTGTGAAGCCAACTAGAAAATATTAATGTTTCATCCTTTCAATGCATTAACTAAATAAAATAATAAATCAACAGTTGTTGCCCATAAAACCAAATATAAAAGTAGTTAAATATTGTCTGTATTATAGCTGTAAATATACAAAATATCATGACAACAACAAACTCCATTTTCAATTTACCATTCACTTATGGCTTATTCCCAGCGCTCTTGACTAACACCATGCCCATTTTCAGACATGTTGACTGTACCATTTTTAAATTATGAACCCATAAATTTGATATATGTGACAATAGTGTTGAATGAGGACAGCAAACTCCACTAAAGGAGGTAGAGCATTTTCACATTTGGCTCCTAAACTCTGAAATAGCCTACCTGAAACTGTTCGGGGCTCAGACACACTATCCCAGTTTACATCTATATTAAAGACACATCTCTTTAGCTAAGCATTCACATAATGCATCTCATTCCTTGTACTAAAGTTATATCAAATAAAACTCAAATTATTAACTTTGTTTGAAATGTTATGAACAGCAGCTACGCTAATTATTAGCTTTGTTCTGTGTTGTGTCCAGTGTTGGGGAAAGTTACTTTTTAAAGCAATGCATTACAATGCATACAATATTGCATTACTCCTTAATCAAAAGTAACTACTTAAGGTACTTAGTAACTGTTAGAAAACACTCTCTGTCTTGAGATTGGTTCCAGATGTTTTCACCCCTCCTTTCCTTTTTTCCTGTCCCTCTTTCACTCGCCCCCTATACAGCACACTGATTGTTTCTCTCTCTGAATCCCCCTCCTCCATCTGCTCTCTCTCTCTTGTATGATGTTTTAATGTCTCTTACTCATATTCGAGGTACGCATGCGCACATGTATGCATTAGCTTTTCTTGGTTCAAATGCCCAAATAAGGAGATGAATGCTAGGACTCCAAGGTAAAGGAGTTCGTGATGAACTATGAAGCGAGTTCAGCATTCTTCGCCAAGTCTATTCCTAATATGTCCATATTTTTCTGTACATGTGGCCATTTTATATAAACACATGTTCTTGGTCAAGATCCTATATGTATGTCATCTATATCCTCAGTGGTTAAAGGGTTGAAACTCCCCTCGACATATGCCTACATAATATCTTTGTTTCTATGAATAAATTGAAGTATTGAGAATACATTGAATGTGTGTTTTCTTGTTTCCCGGCCGTTATACACTTTGAGGGATTGAGAATTTTCCAGGCGGCAAAGAGAATTTACAGAGGGACCAATTGTTATTTTACTAACAA